TGAAATTGAATATAGAATAAGCTGCTTTAGGGATAGTTTTACCCAACACCACAAGATGCTACAAAACTAAAACAGATGAATCTAAGAACTCATATTGAGACTTTCATACGGATATTAAGCATGGATCCCAGCTCGTCCAGAAATATCTAAACTGTCAGTTGTATACACTGATGTCAATATCAAGGGAAGACAGTTGGTTTCATGCTGGAACGCAATATTCAGGCCTGATGATTACGTTCAATCATAAAACAGACTGTGACCACTTGGTGTTGAGCTCAGTATTCACTTTTATATTTTATATTTATATACGCTCTATCTTGGTTATTGAGTGCTTTTGCCCATATATATAGCATACCATAAAACTATATTTTTATGCTCTGTCTCTCTGTCCCTCTCTCTTTCACACACACACACACACACACACACACACACACACACACACACACACACACACACACATATATATATATATATATATATATATATAATATAATATAATATAAATCTAAAGAGCCAGGTAAAACCTACCTAGGTTTCACCTAAACCGATCGTCAGGTTAGTACTGGCCAAAAGAGGTAAAAATGGAACAGAATATATAGCATAAACCAAAAACAACCAAGACCACGTGACAAAAAAAAAAAAGAAAAAGAAAAGAAAAGAGAAAACAAGTAAAACCAGGTAAACTCTCAACAACGAGGGGCGGGGTTAGGGGTTACGTTCTTTATTCAACAACGAGAATAAAAAAAAACAAAACAAAAAAACCTGTTCTATTAACCAGCGTTACCTATGTCTATACCTACTAGGAATTTCCGATTTTAAATTTAATAAATTATTGGGTTCTTTTATAGCTAGCAATAGCTAACTTTTCCTCCGTGCATAGGGAACAAAATTTATCACCTGCTTTATACCTGTTACATTTTTTAAATATTTCCCATTTCAAAATGGGGTCTTTATTGTCCTCTTGTTTGACCTTCCATACATAAGAGGACAAGGTGGCACTGTGTTTGTAAGTTTCGCTATTAAAACTACTAAGGTGGTTATTGTATCGTGTTTTGAAATTATTCTGGGCAAATCCGATGTAAACCTTAGGGTTTTTACAGTATTGTTCGGTTTATCCTCATATATTTTTACTTGTTTTGGAGGGTTTTTTTTCTTTGGTGCCAATCTAGTTCTTCTCTTAAATTCATAAGGTCTAAGTACCATAGAGAAAAGTTCATCAGAACAATTACGATGGAGATATTTATAAATTTCTGACTAATAGTGTATTTTTTGTATGATATTTTTTATAACTTGGAAATAAATTTGGGAATAATTGAAATTAATTGCGAAATACAGTGAAAGTCACCCAGGAAATAAAAATATTTTTTTTACGGAATGTAAGGACCTACGTACATCAAATTGTCTTCAAATTAAGTGGTGGTAGAATTATTATCGTTTACATTTTAAAAGGTAAACTTAGATATTAATGCAGCTATTAATTTTGAGTTCTTTAGTTTATTGTTGCCTATCCCATCTTCTTCCTAAATATTTTGAAGGACCACTCCAATGTTTCAATGGATATCAATGCATCTCATCAAGCGATTGTAGATTACTGCCGAGTGAACGATTTAAGATTTAAAAGCAAAATACAAACTCTTTTTTCGAAAAAGGAGAAAAAAGGGTTATAAGGTTTTTCGGCTCTATTCAGATCAACCAATCAAATAGGGCCTACGTTAAATTTAACCAAAGCCAAGAAGCAAAAATTAAATTCTTTTTTACTTATAAATTACATTTATACTTTTAAATTAAATGTTACGGAACTTGGAATTGTACTCTATTCCTTCTCATCATACTTGGATATATATATATATATATATATATATATATATATATATGTGTGTGTGTGTGTGTGTGTGTGTGTGTGTGTGTGTGTGTGTGTGTGTGTGAGCGTGCGTCTGTATGTGGTCAGATTCTTCTTCTTCTTGCTTTTCTTGAGCGTTTCCTAATTCAGGATGAGTGTTAGGTTCTTCACTTTGAGCCAGAGACAAAGAGACTATACATGCAATTAAAGCATCTCTGCCCACTTGCTCCAAAAAACGCAGATGTCGTTTCATCTGAAGGGAAAGTGTTTGTTTTCGGGATTCAGAAGATATTGTGTTTATTGACTATCTTCGAAAGGGCCACACCATCACCGGAGAGGAATATGCTAACATGTTGAGACTGTTATGAAGGTTATCAAGACCAAACGATACCTAAAACGGACGAAATGCGTTTTGTTTCAATCCTCCTTGCTTTCAATGGTTGCTGTACGTGACTAATTTTAAACTGGTTGGTCACCATCCTTATTTCGCCCCACCTGTCTGTTTCCCAGCATAAAAAAAAACTTATCTAGCAACAAGTATCGCAATAATGCTAACATAATATCAGATGTTGATCACTTGGGATGCAAGCACTGCAGTACCATAGACGATGTGTGTGGATCGCAAAGTTGTAGGGGCATGTTGAAAAATCAAACCCTATT